GTGGACATGAGGGCCTCTGTGCAGCTCCTCAGCATCCTGCTGCTCTGGCTCCCGGGTAAGGAGAGAAATTAGGGTTTACTGGAGTTAGTGCTACCTGTGCTTCAGGGAAAATAATTTAAAGTAATAAGAATGCTGGTAATGATGTTTGTTTATATTTTCAACCCCAGGTTCCTGGTGTGATATCCAGATGACCCAGACTCCATCCATGTCTGCATCTCTGGGAGAGAAAGTCACCATCACCTGCAAGGCCAGTCAGAGCATTAGCAATTGGTTAAACTGGTATCAGCAGAAACCAGGGAAATCTCCCAGGCTCCTGATCTATTATGCAACCAATTTAGGACCAGATGTCCCTTCCCGGTTCAGTGGCAGTGGATCTGGGACAGATTTCACTCTCACCATCAGCAACCTCAAGTCTGAGGATGCTGCCACTTATTACTGTCACCAAACTTTGAGTAACCCTCCCACAGTGGTACACGCCAGAACATAAACCCCCAGAGATGAGCTGTGTGAGGCTGGGTTGCCCCAGTTGCTCCTCCCAGAGCCTCTTCTGCTTAGGGTATATCAGATGCAGCCAGGTTGTGCACTGATCGACAGTTCTGGCAAATTTCAAAGGAATAGTTTTAGGCTCCATTATTATCCTTTTTATCCCAGCAACACAGACATGACAATGGATCTGCTGATTGATTTAATAGAGATTTTAGTTTTGAAATAAGTAGGTGACTGTGTCATTTAGAGTTCATATGTGCTGGCCTGGTCACTCTTGAAGGTCTAGAAACCATGTTTTAAAAGATATATTTTTAAATAATCACACATATTGCCATGCCAGTTGTGAGGACACGTGAGGAGCTTTATTACCTCACACTGAGGGCGTGTCACAGGGTGCATCCTCCCCTGCCATGATGTCCTGTCTGATGTGGGCCAGAGGGAGAAACTGCGTCTTACCAGGAGAAAAACGCCGATAATCCTGTGGTGAGTGTGTGGGGGATGTGGGGGGAGATGCAGGATGACTGAAATCTACTCCCTTGATTGAGGGATTCTGTTTCTGAAATCTTAATTGTTAATGAAACAATTTTAATGATAGAAACTGTGGTATACTATCCTGGATACCCTTGAATGTATAAAGGGATATAACCTTTATTTCAAGGTAAGGGGGTGCAATTCTGGCAAGTAAGAGATCATCTAGAAAAGGAAAATATCAACACCCTGTACTTAGCCCAAAGTCTTATACCAAGGCCTCTTGGGAGATACCCTAGATCATAGTGCCTGACCTTCCCTACATGGCCAGGCCTTGACACTCTCAGAGGGAACGTAAATCTACAGAAATCATTGTTACCTTATGAAACTCTACATTATTGATGGTATTTTCCCAGTCTGCTGGCCAAAAGCCCACAATTTATCTAGCAATACTGATTTTCCTTGGATTTGAATCCCTACAACGGGAACATAAAATATTGGGTGACAATGGTGGGGACAATGTTGACCTGTCTTTTCAAAGATAGATGCCCAGATCTGCATTCCACGGTTTTTTTTTCCACTTTCCCTAAGCACAGACCAAACACTCAGAGCCTTTGCCAAATTGCTCCCGGCCTGTGGCCAGGAAACCCCTGTGACGTGGGCACTGAGATGAGACCTTGGCTCAGCTCATACAGTGTCACAGCGCTGCCTGCTCTAGCACATCAATGGTACTAGCAAGACCTTGGGGACACAATCAACACAGGGACTCCCTGGAGTTCAGTCTTAGCAGGGATATCTGTGCAAGAAATTCTCTTATACTAGAGATATGGGAGATGGAAATACAACACAGTCAGAGTTTCCTAAGGATTATGTGGCCACATTTCCACGGGAGTAAAGTATCTGATGCACCAGAAATCTATAGTTTGTAAAATATAAATGAATAAAAGCCCAGTTATTCCACATGAAGACTGAATAAAAATTTCCATTCAAGTCTCCTGCCCCTGCACCTGGCTGTTCCTCGCCGGGGTCCCTTGGAGGGGAGCGGGTTGAGCTTTCCTCCCCTCCGGCAGCGGAAGACCTCCAGGACCAGCCACCACCATGCCGAGACCACTCTCCGCACACATGAAGGTACTGGCAGAGGGACAAAGCCACGCGGGTTCCGGGGCCGAGATCGCCAAGCCTACTCGGATTGGAGTTGAGCATCCTCCACCCAGATCCTCCAAATTCCAGGAGGCGGGGGTCACACCCACCACCTGGCCCCCTGGCGCCATGTAATCCCATCAGCGGCCAAGACTCAGAGACTATAAAATCCAGCTCCCGGAACCGAGCGGCCACATTCGCAACATCTTATCAGGACATCTTTTTATGACATCTTATTATCTCATTCCTACTTTGTACAAACATGCAGGCTATCAAATGTAGCCTGCCCACAGGGCAGAGTCTGGCAAACTCCCCATGGCGTACCAAATATGCCAAACACCAGTAACAATGATGGGTCTCATTCTCCTAAAGAGCCTTGAATATAATCTCAGGGATAGGATGAAAGAGATGTTACTGGGGCCTGCTTGAGGCAATTGACGAATAACAGGATGATGAATGAAAAAAAAAATGAATTCAAGCCTCTACCTTTTGAGCGATCCCCAAGGATTTTGGTTGTTTTATATATAGAAAACAGAAAACACAGTCACTTTGCTCATATTGAGGGGCCCTCCCTTTGCATGTTTTTGAACTGATACGGTGCTGTATGTATTTGCATGTTGTCCCAGGGAGGATCTATGTTTGAGTCTTACATAAAGGTCAACTCTGCTCTTGCTTTCACTCACCAGGATTCCTCAGGTCAATTTTTCGAAATGAGGTTCCCTGCTCAGGTCCTGGAGCTGTTAGCATCCCAGGGTTAGGACACAGAGGACATGAAAAATGGAAACAGTTCAGGAGGGGAATGTGGGGGATCCTTGTGTAACTGACTGGGTGTCGGATGACACATTTCTTACCAAAGGGGAAAGTGATGGTTAGAACTGAGAAGCTGAGAGAGTGAGACACATTCTGGAAGGAACAAGCAACTGCGCTCTGGAGAAATGCAACAAGAATGGAGAGATGACACAGATAGACACAGAATGCTTTTTCTTCAATAAACTCTCTTATATATTCCCATTGCATTGTTTTGATATATAAATATAAGAACTGCAAAAATGAACTGCAATGTATTTTTTCATAACAAACAATATGAAATATTATTTCAGTTCTGCTTTGGGGCAGGGATTGGCGTTCAAGATGGAAATATCTGAAATGTGGTGGGAAGGCGTAATGGTGTTGGGATTGGTGTTTAGATATTAAATGCAATCAAATATTGTGAACTACTCTATAAAATAAAAAAATTAAAAAATGAACTGTAATAAGGGAAGGGAGTATTTTGAATAAATTCATTAAAGATTGGAAATAATGGTGCTAATTATATTGCAATAGAATCTTGCAGTATTTTCAATCAAATTTTTCAGGATTTAGAGGTGATATTGTACTGACGCAATCTCCACTGTCCCTGTCCATCGTTCCTGAAGAATCGGTTTCCATCTCGTTCAGTTCAGTAAGATCCTCCTAGTAAATAATGGAAATACCTATCTCTACTGGTTCCTTCAGAATCCAGGAAAACCTCCATAGCTCCTGATCCACAGAGTTTCCAGTGAAGATCCTGGGGTCCCAGACAGGTTCATTGGCAATGAGTCAGGGAGAGATTTCACTCTTCAGATTTGCAGGATGGAGCCTGAGAATGTTGGGTGCAACTTATATCTACTGCATGCGAGATATAAAGTATATTCTCCCACAGTGATGCAGCCCCAACACCAACCTCCTTGTGTGGCCTGGACAAATACTTATACATGTTCTTTGCTGGTGAGCAGACAGCAGAGTCCCTGAGTCAGTGAGAGGAAGGCATTGGGGGTCTCAAGAGAAGAGGCTGCAGCTGAGGGTTTGGACTATGAGAGCCCCTGCTGTACTGCAGACACCCCACATTAGGACCTGGTCAGAGGTACCTGGTCTGGCCTGGCAGAGCAACACGTATGCAGGGGGAGTCTGTGCCATTAATGGCCAGTTGTACTGTACTGACAGGTGATGGGAAGCCACAGCACATCCTCCCTGCCTTGTCCACATTTGTAAGGGAAATGCTGTTACCTATATATCAGCTGAGTGACACAGTTTTTTTCAAGATCTTAAAGAATAATGTCATTTATAATTTTATTAAAAAGTTTGCTTTATATGGAGTCAAAATGATAGTACAGCAGGTAAGGAGTTGGTCGTACATGTGGTTAACCTGCATTGCATCCCCGGGATCCCAGACAATTTTCTTCCAGAGTTTTCTCTAAGCCAGGAAGATGTCCTGAGGACCATTGCCTGGTGTGGCTCCAAAACAATGAAACAAACAAACAAAGTTTAAAGCTTCCCCATCCCAAGACTTTCCCTTCCCCAGGCCCTCTCCCCTCCTCCACCTGCATCCCCAACCCCCAGGGCTTCTCTTCTGCATCCCTGATGGAGACTCCAGTTTGTCAGCTCCAACTTCCTGTCCTGAACTCACAGGCCCCAGTTCATCCTGCTAACACAGGGGTCCTGGTGCCTTAAGAGTGGGGCCCTGATGTCTCTCATTCCTGCCCATGGTCTCCCTAGTTCTGACTCATTCCTGTGGATTCCTGTGTAGGACTATCTAGTGAGGGGGTCATAGGAAGCTGACTGTAGAATGTGAGTTTCTCTGATGCTTGCCCACTGGGAGAGACACTCGTCCAAGAGGCGAATCCTTATAACTGGAATTGGGAAGGATATGGGACAGGCAGGGGACCTTCCTCACTGGGGGTCCCTTGCGAATCTGGCAATGATCTGAGGGTGGTTTTGCCTCCAAACCAGACTGATCCTGAGTTTACTGTGCTGCTCCTGTCAGACAAGTCACATGTTGGACACTGTCCCGAGCTCATCTAGAGAGGACCATGTTCTCTAGGTCCTACCCAATTCCTGCTAGGTCTCAGGGTTCCAGGATCACTATGACACTCTGAGCCCAGAGCTATGTCCATCTCTACACTGCTTCACATAGGCCCCTTTGTGGAGATCTGGCCTTCAAGATCCTGGGCAGGGTGGTAGATGCACGAGAGGACTCGGTACATTGCTGGTTAAAGATAAAAATCATAATTAGAGCAACTACTGATTTCATATGTAGTCAGGTATAAATTAACAGCCTAACCTCATTCTTACTCCCAAAGAAACATGCAATAAAGGTTTAGTAATCATGTTGGAACAAAGTCATTCATCCTCAAGCAAAGGCAGCTCTCTCAGCGCTTTCAAAACAAGCAGCACAACACACTGCAAATACCAGAGGGTGGACAAACTTTACAATTGTTTCCGTGTGCTTTTTCTCCATCTCTGTAATGCCCTTACAACATTACAGACCCCAAGGAAGCATGCAGTTCCTTTACCCAGTACCCCAAGAGAGAGTCTCTGTTCCCTACAGGAAGGAACATGGTTTTGTTTCTAAGATTTGGTTTTTAATGCCTGCTA